TAAACTGACAACGATGTTATCTTTTTATAGCCTGTGTAAACGTCTCCAGTGTTCTTCAGTAATACATAACTTTTGATTTGAAGGTGTAAATTGAATGTAATGAGCAACATTGACCATTTCTGACATTTACTGAAGATGGCAGGGATTCTGATCCTCGCAAAACCATATAATTTATCACGATACCTACAGAGAATTCTACCTTTATTCACTGCATTTCTTTTCCGGTTCTATTTGTGACTTTTAACTCAGAGGTACATGAGTCTTGGCTTTCCAGCAGCAACTCATACCAGGCGTCTTCTCTTGACTAGATTACGGCTTTACTTCCGACATTAAACGCTAGTCTTGGATTCCACTGTTAACTAGCGACATTCAAATAAAAAGCACTTCATTTCCCTAGTAAATGCATACCTTTAGTTATGTACATATATATATATATATATATATATGTAACCACATGTTCAGCTAGATACATTATTTCATTACGCAACTCTATCCAGTTATTTTATGACTGATATTTTGACTCATGATCTCTTGTCGTTTACCAAGAAAATACTTTTATATTCACACCGCCTCTCTTATGATGTTTAGTTTAAGCACATAAGTGATAACTTCGAAAAATTCAACGGCAAATAAATGCTACTAAAGAATGAGGCCAAGTCGATATATATATATATATATATAAGTGGGGCAACTATATGTACAACATATTTTTTAAATAATAATGATCACAGTGATGATGAAATAATTCTTAAAAAGTGGGAGTAAAGAAACGGTAGTTATTGTTCGAAGACTCATATGTTCTCACAACGTAATAAAGATCAGTACTAGACCATCTCGTCGATAAATGAGGTCAAGTCGGCAAACTATTTCTCAAATCTCACCCAATCTTCTGAATGCTCTAATGGTTTGACTTATACATACAGAAGAGGCTATCGAAATTCATTTGAATGAATCAGATCTGTGTGCTTGAAAGAAGTTCGTAGAGCCGCTTCCTTTGATGTGACTGCCTTCATAATATGTAAATAGTCTTACCAACGACATTTCATTTATCCTTGTAAATACCATATAACTTGTTATGTTATTATGATTACTCATTGGACCTATTAGCAATAGAGAAGATTTTAGTTGTGTTCTCTGCACTCGATGATTTAAATGCGGTGCTTTCGTTGTCCTTCTAGACAACATCTTCAGCGCAGGTTTTAAAATAAAGTTAACTTATTTGAATTCTCCGTGAATGATATAATTTTCAAGTGTTATTTTGCAGAGATTTGATTGGCTACAGGATTTCATCATGAGCTGACATCGGTGAGAGAAACATCGAAAAACCTGCAATCACTGGACAGCCATCTCCCCCTAGTTTGGGACTCCTCAGCAGTGCGCAATCACCACGGTTCCAACTCAGCACCTTCCAGTCACAAGGCGAGCTCGTAGATCACTCAGCCACTGGGATCAAATGCGATGGTCGATGAATTCTAACTTTTCACGATATAGCACGACCACCAGCCGATGTCATCACTGACGCGACGTGCTGTACCCCCACTAGTCACAACTAGAACCCAAGTAACCACCTAACTGAATAGGGCATCGCTCGTGAGCACCATATTAAGTTCAAGTACTGGTGAAATCCTGTAACCACATGAGTCTCAAACTGAGAGGAGACGGCTGTGCAGTGATTGCAGGTTTTCCGATGTTTCTCTGACCGATGTCAGCTCATGATGAAGTCCCGTAACCAATTCTAATGACTCCATTCAATGTATTAAAGGGACTAGTTTTTTTTCAATAACAGCATTGTGCAAACATTCGAATATTACTCTCAGGTACTTAGAGTTTTTGTGACTTGTATGTCGAGCGTATTATTTTCCCGTATTAATGCTATAAAATGTATCGCGAATTTTTCATTTATCTTCATCGCCGTCATATTAGAAGGTGTTTGTATTTTACCTGTGATGTATGCAATTTTGTGGGATGCATAATAAAAAAAGTGTTCTGATTAATGTGGAAAAATCAAGAAGAACATTTAATTGTAATTTCAGATTCTTACCACAATCCGAATCATGTGGTCTGCTAAATACATCATATTTTAATGTGAACATAACAGTAAGCTTAGTAAAAAAAAAACAACAATAAAATAAACATTTTTATGGTATTCACAAAAATTACTCAGAAGAATTCATATTTTAAAAAAATTAATTACTTTCCCAGTATTGTCTGGACAAATATATATATATATACATATATATAGGCATAATATTTCATGTTTATGTAAATTTTTGGATGCTTCACAGTGTAGTTTTTAGTACCCTAGTGGGGATCTCATTTCATGAATCAAAGGTATAATTGTATTACCCGACCAGTAAGTGATGCCTTAAAAAGGCCTTCGGAAGCGTCAGTAGGGAGGTGCTTTGGCAACTACTTCGCTACTACTGGGTGCCACCGACAATTATACATCTCATCCAACAGCTGTACGACAATGCTGCATGCCAAGTAATCCACAATGGGAAACTTACGGAATCCTTCGAAGTGAGGATAGGAGTAAGACAAGCTGGCTGCCTACTATCGCCAATGATTTTCCTGATTGCAGTAGACTGGATAATGCGACAAACAGCGGGCAATGAGGAAACAGGTAAAAAATGGACACACACAAAAAACTTGGAGGATCCGGACTTCGCCGATGATATATGTCTGATTTCCCACAAACTGGAAGATATGCAACGAAAAGCAACAAGTTGGCAGAAGAAGCATCAAAGATAGGACTTCAGGTGAACATAGAGAAAACAGAGGTAATGAAGATTCCTGGACAAGAACAAGAACAACAGACAACATTCAGCATAAATGGGAGGAACCTGAAAGAAACAACCTCCTTTACCTACCTGGGAAGCATCGTCTCAACTACAGGTGGACAGAACTGACGAGGATATAAAAGCAAGAATCGGGAAAGCAAGACAAGATTTCACTACTCTCAAGTCTGTGTGGAGGTCAACAGCTCTCAGCATCAAAATGAAAATAAGATCCGGATTTTCAACTCCAATGTGAAGTCAGTGCTACTACACGGATCAGAGACTTGGAGCATCACGAAGAGTATTTCGAATGAACTACAGACTTCCATTAACAGTTGTCTTCGCTCAATACCACTCAGGATCAGATGGCCGGCCAGAGAAGATCAGCAACAGGGATCTCTGGCAATGAGCGAATCAACCAAGAACCGATTGTGAAACAAATAAGCAGGAAGAAATGGAGATGGATTGGCCGTACTCTGAGGGAACCATCAAGTGACATCACTAGACAAGCCATTGCTCGAGTGGAACCCGAAAGGGAAGCGGCGAGTTGGTCGTCCAATGGTGACTTGGAGGTCATGTGAAGAGGAGATGAAAACGTCTGGGCAAACTTGGAGCTAGGTTAAGACTCTAGCAGAGAATCGAACGCAATGGAGACGCACGGCTGAAGCCCTATGTTCCTCTAGGAATTAAAGGAAACAATAATAATAAGTGATGCTTTGGGAAGAATATGAATCATCTTAGAGTTCGTGTAACTTCATACTAATAAGTGGAGTATACTGTTTAGGGAAAACGAACCCCTGACAATTGATTCATATCAGCTAGTATTTTTAGGTTAAAAGCATGATCATAGTCTATTTCGGTGTCTCAATTTTTTTCGTACTGGTTTTGGGAAAACAATCGAACGTCTTCGTCCCATTGCAGTTTACCTAGTCTGGTGTAATTATTCATTCATTTTATCGTCGAAGTATATCTCCAAGTCTTGAAAGATTTTAATTATTATTGTCATCAGTTCCCCAATTCCACTTTGCTCTCTGCTTTCTCCTTTAACTCGCTCAACAATTGTCCCAGAGCTTTCATTTCCTTCTAAAATCGTCTCGTCTATGTGACACTACAGCGTCTAGCTAATCAATTCCCAGTCAAGTTCTAATGAACTCTCTATCTGATGCGTAATGTAACTTGAATGTCTCCTTCGTATCTGTTCATTTTTCTTCCGGCCAGCCATCTGATTCTCACTAACGAGCCATCGAAAGTATCTGTTGATGAATGCCAGAAGCAGCCTTCTGCAAATGCTTTCGGTGACTCACACGCTAAGTCTCTGAGCCATTAAGAAGCACCCACTGACTTCATATTGGTGTTAAAAATTCGAGTCTTGCACATTATTCTAAGTGTCAAATGCTTCGCATGGAAATTAATAGTGGATATGTATTTTGCTGCACCAAACACAACCAATAAGTCAACGTTGATTGGTTGTTAAACCGAAGAATGACGAATGTTGGAATGCGTAGTGGCGAATGACACCCATCTTCTGGCTTAATGTCCTTGTTCAAGCGAATCTCTATCACAATATCTATATTTCTTCCATAAAAGCGATTCACGTTTTTCAAATATTCCTGTCGGGTAGCAATTATAACGATATCATTACATTTTGTAAAGTTTATGTTTGTTTCTGTGCTGGTGTCAAGATATCATTTATAGCATGTCTTCTGGAAAATGACTTTTACGTTATTCACTCAAAATGTCTTAATAAAAGTACACTGGTGGTCCTTTCGTTTTTGCTCAGAAATTAGTTTGTTAATTACATGCCTGTATGTTTTGCAACCTCATTGTGCATCCTACCTCGTTTCTGTGGTACCATGAATCGCTATTTGAATAAATAATTTTGAAAAATGGCGGAAATAAGTGGTATATCCAGAGAGAAACTGAAATCAGCAAACACCTTCATGTTACATAGGTCTTAAAAGAAGATTCCATTCGCAACTTCTCTTGAAGCCGTAAAAGCACATGGTGTTCTAGAAGACAGCAACACGAAATAGTCACCTTGTGCAGTGGGTCAGTCTGATTCAGTCTTCAGGATCTTCATTTCTTAGACAAATAATGCATTCGTGCATTAAGCAGTAACCGTTTTATCAGTTATTACTGTTTCATTTGCTGTCGGCCGGCGTGATTTTGCATACAGGTCGAACGAAAATATGCACTGTGGATAAATAACAGTATTGATGTACACTGTCTTTTGAATAAACTCTATTTATTATAAGTTCTGTTAGATAAATACATAGAGAATGGTTTTCATACAGCATACATAGTAAATGAATTTTTAAAATTCGGTTGTAATGTATATATATACGTCGGAAAGTGATACATTTGAAAAATTATTTTTGTAGATTAACCAAACTAATAGAGCTCTAGATACATGTGTGTATTATAGGAATATATGTGTACTAAATGCATATCGTGTGAAGGATAACTAGTCCACTAAAAGACTGATAAGTTCCCTGGTTCTTTGAAATGTGATGCTGTACTGCAAAAAAGTTTATTTAGTACACACAAAGTTTACAAAAATTAGTCCATTCCACACACACACACACAAGTAATATAGTAAGAAACATTCATATTTAAAAACTATTTGTTCTATGAATTGACTTGTTTGAATGGATATTTTTACTTTTTTCACAATGATTGTTGTTGTTACTGTTGTTATTATTAATAGTTTTCAGTAATTTATTTGAGTTTCTACACGTTGATACTATTGGTGGGAGTTGATAGATCACATTTTCAGGTTGTCGTGAATAGAGGAGATGTCGACGTTTAATCTCTTTCAGCTATAATAATATACAAACGAACAAACAAAGAAACAAAAAACAAGAGTAATGGAGCAATTACGGTGAGCTACTCAAAATAACTGACTTTGTTGCATTCATCACTGTTAAACTTCAACTGATTTATATAACACATAATATTTTAGCAGTATGCTATTGAGTATTACAGAGGTATGACATAATTGATGCAGTTACTTAGAAGTGTTTTATAAAGAAAGTGAGAAATTACATAATAATAGTGAACAAAATTGAAGTAAAAGTTTAAAACTAGATAAGTTAGAGGTTGTCTTTAGATGAGAATCAGGGCAGATGAGTGTTCTTGCTTCAGTTGCAATAACAACCTTTACTGTGTTAAATTATTAACCCTCACTCCCACCGTATTGTTAATTATTGTGTATTATTATTACTGTTCCTTTGGGCTACGAGTAGAACAGGAACGCATTTCTACTTTGTAATCTTATTGTATAGTTAATTTTTATGTTTAGAGTTAATACTGTAGTTTATGCGGTCTATGAGAAACTGACTGATTCTAAGATTCACTTTGTTACAGAACAGTGTCAGCTGTAGGAAGTGGCTGAACCAAAAAGCACTGAGTAGCCTGTTTTGCACTGCTTTTCTGGGCTCTTCAGCTGTGTTCATGGACGATAAGCTGGATGCTCCATGTTCTGTGGCTGTAAAATATTCACTTAGTTGCTATTGGTCTCACACAAGGCAAAGCATATCTAAATAGAATTCTAATAGTGTTCTCAGTTCCATTCGCATTATTCAATGTGATATATCGTTGTGTTCCCGAACAGATCTGAGTGACTGTTAGTTACCACATTATTCTGATAAGACGATTTAACCGTAAGTCGGCGCCTACTAAAGAACTATAAAAGCAATAGACTGGTATTATGCTTTTGTTTCACAGTTGCTAGGAAACGAAAAGACTCGAAATTCATGCAGGATTAAGATATAAATTACTAATAAACCTTCAAGGATTATTGAGTTACGACAGAAAACGTTTTCAGTATTATTTCATTTTCAGTAATCGGCTAGATAAGATCAGCCTTTCCTTGCCTTCATTTTATTGATTATACGAAATCTAAGATGTTGTTGAATGTGAAAAAGACGTGCTTACTTTCTACGAGAGATAAAGCCTCTTTCATTTTACGTTTTGGTTGAACACATGATCTTTGTTTTGATGCGTCCACGAATTAACTGGTAAATGAATGTGCTCCTCTTGATTCACTATGACTGTCGCTTATATTCGCAATGTGTTTGGATGAGGCTGATGTTTAAACTATACAAATTATAACAGAATTCTTTCAGTAAAATATTTAACTTTGAATGGCAAAGTACCCTACAAGATGCCAAATACCAAGAATTATTTAAAAGAAACCCGTAGAGTATTTAACTTACTTGATTCAACGTTGAATAATCTTCATGAAGCTTATTATTATGCCTGTCACCAGCTTGATTTTCAATCATGAATACAGTTGGTGTTCTATACATATGACTGTTTAATTTTTTACAAAACTTTTGATTTGAATTACTATATACTGGCGGTATACGATTATATCTGCATACACCAGCCTTTCTGTTCATTGGTCGTGGATATGCATTACTGCCAAATGTTGTACTTGGTATCGGTGATTTCTCAGCTATCTGTGTTTCATTCACATCATAAGCAAAATTCACTTGTAATGCAGAATCACGATCATTACGTGTTTGTTTTCTTGATTCTGACTGACGTCTACAGAAACTTCTACAAATAAGTAAAATGAAGCGGATAACAATACAGCCACACTGGTTTTACAACAAACAAAAGTGTACTGTCATTACATTTTTGACGCATGTAGGAAAAAACGCAATAAGTGCTTGACAATTGGATGAACTGCAGTGCATGCATTCAGTTTTGTTGGCTAATCGACATCTTGAAAACTTTATAGGACGTTGTAGTGAAGGGAGATTTCTGCTTGAAAATACATCTTCCGTAATACAGAAAGCTACCATTATTAAATCACCATTCAAGGATGATCAAGTCATGCGATTAACAGTCCAAAGGCTTTGGTCAGCCACTAAGCGCACTCTCTACGCCAACTCCATTTTTTAAAAATCTCAAACACTTTCACCTCCAGTAAAGTATGAAATTCTGTGGACCCTATTTCACAGTGCATCTACAAGTTCATCTGCAGTTGTGACGACACATATAGGCAAAATTAACAGAATGTTCCAATGTAGCAGGAACGACCACATTCGAAAATGGTTATTAATTCACACGGAAAATTTAAATATACTTAATCCGAGTAGAAATCCATCATCACTTATTAATGTCAGTTGACAAATCAATATTTTAATGACTACTTCTCAGTTATTTCACACAACTCCAAATGAAGTTTATTAAAAGTGATGGAAGCACTTTGGATTAATCAGATGCATTCCAAATTATGTAGAGAAAGCGTTGGACTTCAACATTTGCCCACCATGGACCACTTAACTTAGTACAATATGATTGGTGTTTAGTAAGCACTTTCATTCTAGATAACTGATTAGTTGTCAATCTCTTTATTTTATTATTTTTAACCAAGCTACTTGTAAAGCAAAAGTAAAGAAACTGTGAAACGATGTCATCTCGAAATAGGCCTTCTTAAACCATATTTATTGATCGTTCAATGATTCAGGAGATATTAGTCCGGAAAGTATATAAGTGTGATAGTGGGACACTTAGTTTTCTTCAGCTGGGAGGAGAAAGAATGACTGCCTGATATCTCATAGGATGTGTAGTCCAATGAAGAGTGTTAAATCCAGTCCCTGATTGATAGCCAGACTGAGAATGGTATTTTTACTAACATTATTTTGTCAAATAGTTATATTTTACAAACAATCGCTCAGTTGGTGTTTGACAGATTTTGAGGCTACACTTTACCATGGTAGGAGATTAGTTGCAGAACCGCTGGAAACAGTTTCATCATATTTCAAGACTCTTCCCCAGTGAACAACCGTCACTCCACCTGGTATCAAACGTAGGACCATCAAGTAACGAGATTACTAAGTTACCATTTAGCTACTGGGACAGAACTGAATGAGCCATGAATTCTTACTTCCCAAGTTCGCGATATGATCATATTTTAATTCTTCGTTGATTTGAAAGAAGTACATCTTTGGCCTTGATTACATTTTCTGATCAGCTATAAGGTTTTTTATAAATTGGGGATAACCGAACTAGAAAAAGCATTACTGTTTGAGATAATGAAATACGAAATTCTATCTCATTAAAAACACTGGGATTAGCAGGGATACAGAAACAGCTCAACTGAATAGGGACACCACTAAACATCATTAAAAGAATACTGAGATCATCGGTTGAACACGCATCCTCGCTTGCCAATAAACTCGATTAGTTAATTTCAAAACATTGATGCTAACAATAGCCATTCAAATTGTTCCCTGATTAAAAAGTCTCAGTTACTAGACTACAAACCACATTTGATACTGAGTGACTTTTATTATCTTTCAGATACTTAGGCTGAATGGAGTAAGTTGAATGGGTTTCAAATCTCCGATTTATTGGTAAAAACCGAGTGTTTAAACGTATCATTTTAATAACTTCGTCATGAGCACCATAAGGCTGATAATTTGAAATGATTAAATCTTAGTCAAAATAATAAATATACCATTTACTTTTAATTACATATTTTTACTCTACCACTTACCGAATACGTAAAATAACGGCCATGAAGAAGCAAACAATCAGTACACAGGAAAGTGTAATCACAATCAGAATTTGTACTTCACTAACACCATAGTTTTCTAGGAAACAAAACATTAAATAAATTCATGTGAACTGTGATCAAGATTTGACCGAATAGTTCCAAAATAATTGGGCGCCTAGTGAGAAGTAGACATATATGCGAAAATTATACTTGTAAAAGCTCAGCGAAATTGAAATTGAATAATTCCAACTTTCTGTTCGGCAACCTGGTCCGAACTTCTTCAGGGAAATTAATGAGAAATTAAAAACATTGAATGAAAGTGGTACTAGGTTGATGTTTTACAGCAAACAAACATTATTTCTATTCTCATTAAAAACAGTTTTTAGCACATAAATCTTTAGACGCCAGATAAACTGTCCCATTTAGGTGCGGTGGTAACACCAGGATATAAGACATAATCTACCTCAGAATTATTCGTTTTCTGTTGAATTCGTTAGAAATTTCACGTAATTAGCTCATTTGAAATTTTCGTAAACATCATAATGTCACCGTAGAATTTTCCAGATGTCTGGGACAGGTGTTGAATCATTGCAACTTCACGTGTTTGCAGTTGATTCGATAAACAAAGCTCCCGTTATCCAACTCCCTTTCCACCTTGTTACATTAGATTTTAAAAGTGTCATCTTATCCCATCCTATTGTATGGTTGTGTGTAATTGCATGAAGTAATCTAGATTTTGCGAAATCTAGATTAGTTGACCCGAAGAAGATAAGAAATCTAGAGAATAGTTCATCAGCTGTAGCACTCACTACATGTAATTACACACAACCATACAATAGGGTGGGATAAGATGACACTTTTAAAATCTAATGCAACAGGATGGAGGGAGAGATCGGTAACGGTAGTTATGTTTGTCGAATCAACTGCAAACACGTGTAATAGGAATGATTCAACACCTGTCTCAGATATCTGGAAAAATCTACTAGACCCAATGACGACGAATAGGAGGGAACAAAGAAAACTTTAAAACTCAAGTTTCGAAATCGTGTGATTATAATTGATATGATTATGAACAATAAATTTTGTCCGAAACGTTATCCAGTAAATAATACAGTTTCACTATGTGATATATCAAATAAACAAACTAATATGGAATTACTTACTCCCACAATGCCCACGTTTTATACATATATTATTATTCTGTGCGGTTAAGAAAGGGACAAACAAGATTTATTGGTGGCTCTATTTTGGAGCACCTTATTGACAATGGACATATAGTTCCTGTTAATGCAGAATTTGAAGTCATTTATCGTTTCCCGTCAAATAGTAATTTTGCCTGACGAGTTCGTCTTCTACATACAGCTGAAGTCATCGGAATCCACCTGAAGAATGCAAATTTTTGTGTTTGGAAGAAATTCATACAACTTCCCCTGCCGACGCACACCTGATATCTATGGTCGGCCTGCAAAATTTGGGCTACCGATATCAAAGCTGAAAATTCCATACTTGTACTAAAAATACGGTGTGGCATCAAGCTGTAACCAAAAATTAAAAAAAATTAAAAAAACTTCTTCCCTTACCTTGGCTATTATTACATTAGTGTAAAAAGATGACAATTTCCTCCTCTACTCTAAGCCTCTTTTCAAGTTATGATTGTCCTAATTATTATTTTATTATTCCGACTACTTTAACTTTAACTGCTTATTACGTAGTCGATTTGGATACCCATTTGATTCGCAATTACTCCTTGTTTCTCCTAAAATTATGTATTATATAATCCAATTGTTTGAGTTTTGCAATTATATTTTATTTTTAAAAATTTTGTTTTTGATTAAAGCTTGATGCCACACCGTATTTTCAGAACAAGTATGGAATTTTCAGCATGGATATCGGTAGCCCAAATTTTGAAGGCCGACCATAGATATCGGGTGTGCGTCGGCAGGGGATCGAACCCCGAACCATGTGCATAGTCGGCGAGGGTCCTAACCACTGTGCCACCGAGGCATATTTACCCTTTCTTGGATAATTAACATGGCATTATCACTATTGTTAACCACCTTGTCACCACTAGATTGATAAATTTTTTGTATTGTACTAAAAATGTTATGCATATTACAGCACAGTCGTAGAAAACGATCTAACTGATGAGACCAGATTTAAGAAACAAATAAGACTGGAACACATATTACTTGACAAGCATAGTGTTATTCCTCATTCTGAGCTATAAATCTTTATTATTTCATAGTGTTATTTATCCGTTGTTATATGATCTATTCTAGGCATTTAATAACCAAACTTCCCATGCCGAATACTTACGACTGCTTATTATTGCATATGTGGTACCTTAAGTGTTTAGTAAAAGCTTTTGTCAGAGAAAATAAAGCGTTCAGTCTATTGGAATAGTTAAAGAATGGTGGTCGCCCTCATATCTAAGACAAATAAATATCTTGTTAAGAACTTCAATAAATCTTCAATTGTGAAATAAATGGTGGGAAACTTTGCAGATGAATAAAGATAAACAGAAACGACAAAGTCTGCTTCAAAAAAATATCGGAAACTGAATGTTAGAAGGAAGAAAGTGAACAGTGAAGTTTATTCACATTGGTTGATTCACAGTTTTTTCCTCATCCTCCATAAAATGTACACAGTTAGCCGTCAGTGACACTGGATGGTACTTATAGTTTATTGATTCAGTTATTTTTATAGTTGCCAGTATCATCGTCTAAAGAGATTCAAATCAAGAGGAAAGAGAAGTGAGACGTCAAACTTTTCAGTGTTTTTTTAATCGCAAATCAAGTTCGAGATTATCAGTATTAATATAGTTTGACAACTTTTTTCTTGCAGAGTAAGATACATTGGCCGAATCCAGAGAACGCTCTTCACACAGATACGCTAACATATCCCAGAATGATTTTATGAAGGGGAAAAAGGGTATGAGAAACTCTATTCTAGAACACTTGATCGACTTATGTCAGTCTTCCAACGCTAACCATGATTTTAAGATCATATTTCGAATTTATGCTAACTAGCCGCACTTTTTTCGTTCTAGACTTCTGAAAGCCTTCGTCTTTCATGAATTCAAGCCAGACATTTGTGTCAAAAAGAAGTATGTGCAATCCATATTTCTGTCTTGACAGTAGAAAGATAACTATATATTTATCCTTATCCTGTTTATTTAGTTAATCTGCGTACCTCTACTTCCTTCATTACTACAATTGTTATTATTGTTGCTACTGCTACTCTCACTTTGAACTGATTCCGGTGTTACTTCACTTGTCCAACTTGTCATTCTAAGTGAAGATGTTTTGCTGCAATGTTGAATTCTACCTTACCGAATTTCACACCATGTTATGTAACGTTTCTTATTTGCTTACTTATCTTATGATTTTATATCACCATCTACACATCCTGTGAACTATTCTACATACAACATTATTTATTTTTCCGCTTGACACTTGATACTGAACTATGTTTATAATCACAAACATTTTAAGTGCATCTTATACTACTATTATTATTTTAAGTATTCACATCTTTGTTTAGATTTCCCGATGGGATACAATTTCTTAAAAAAACGGTATATATGCGAATGGATGGCTTGATAATCAGTTCACTGAAAAGAGTCTCTTCCCTCTGGGGCGGGATGGAGGACACCTGAGTGGTTGTGCCGCCGGAGGATACTGCACACAGTTTTGATCTTCCAAAGGCTAGGATGAATGTGTCCAGTTCACTCTAGTAAGCAGGTGTATCGCTAAGTACTGCTAAATGTTTAGGTGTAAACTTGTCACTCTTATGCACTTTCAGTTAACTTCAGATTTCTGATATGAATCCATTTAAGCACAATAATTTCTACCAGGAAGAACCGACATTCATACGGACTAGTTCAAGAAATAATGCGATACATATCACAATGCAGACTGATTTGCCATACTGAGTGAGTGATTCAGTATAAACGCCTCGAACAGAAATTCTGCGCAGTACTGGTTCCACTTTTTCGAGGAAGAGTAAGGCTACAGCTAATCAAGTTCGCTTACTGTGAATGCTAACAAGACATCTGAAGGACGAGTTCGTGCTAACATGTGTATATTGATGGTTTTATGTGACAAAAATGTGACTACTTCTTTAAATGTTTCACTTACTAATAATGGAATTTAGTAATGACAGCTAGAAATTAATTTTTTGTTTTCCTTCACGTTCCCAGTGGAACATAGGGCGTTAAGCTAGAGGCTTGAAGTTTCTGTAGCATTGTTTAACTTTAACAGGATGGGGTTGCTAGCCTCTTGCCCAACCTTTCCTCTTCACCAGCATTATTTCTGGTTTAGCGAGGTAAAGGAGTGCGTCGGTGGCCGGGTATCGAACCCCGGATCATGTGCATGGTCGGCAAGCGTCCTATCCGCTATGACACCAACGCACTAGAAATTAATTAGTACAAGTATAATCAGAAAACAAAAACAAATTCAAGATAACCTTTCCACAACTTACCTATTTTTGTCTCATTTTTCATTCCATATATATCCCCATTTAAAGTATATCCATTATACTTTTCTAACATTTGCTTATCACCTTCAATCATTAAACTTCTTAAATTCTCTGTACAGAATGTAATATTTGTAACAGATAGTTCATTATGCTCATTATTTATATTGTTATTATTATTATTGTCATAATTACTTTGATGATACGTATTACTATTATGATGGATGTGTCGATTGACTGTTTCAAACCAATCCATGAATAAATCATCCGGTTTTAGGTATTTCTGTGTCCATATAATAATCTGCATTTTTAATACAGAATAGTCAATATCCTGATATTCTTCTTGATTGTAAAGAAAATCAGGATTCTTATCATACAACTGTAAGATTATACAACCAGTTGTTCCAAGACTTGAAGTCGTTGTTGTCGTGGCGGATGCATTCAAATTAATTTTGGTATTATTATCATTATTATTATTTTCTATACTATTAGTGGTAGTACCGTTTGGTGTGGATAATGATGAATATTCATGACTAGTTGTGGCGTTGTTTAAACGTACCGCTATTGACAGTAATTGCTGTAACCACTGAGAATTAGTGAAGCTGATTGTTTTTGAATTATAATTTGGTTTAAATGTATCAGCCGGCAGTCTTTCTCTAATTCTCATGTTTATTTGTTTTAAATTTTACTGAATCTTTCTTTTAAATATCAACTGATGAAACAGGAAAGACTTGACAGCTTTGTGCACTTATTTTGACGATACACTTTTCTGCAAAAAAAGTAACACAACAAAACAGGAAAACCAATGAAACAATTCTGTTAGGCTGAGGAGAAGAAACAAAGATATATCGCACAACATATATTAATGGCAGTAACTCCTGGTGAAGAAAACATTTCAGCTGGTAGCTTTTGTTAACAACTCAAGTTTCGCCCTAGTCTCGAACTCTTCATCGGTACGCATCCACCGGAGTTCGAATCCAAGGCCTCCCAGGTGCAAGGCGAGCTCGTAAACCATTGGGTAACTGGGACCCGATCCATTTGTCCATAAATTCCAACTTCTGTCAATTCAGGATGTGGGGCGACCACTAGCCAGTTTAATCGGCGAGTATTTTATATTATTATATCATATATATAATATATATTAGGTATATTTATATTATTATTCTATATTATACTAGTGGCGTCCATCAAGGATGCCCATTATCCCCATTTCTATTCAACTTCATCGTAGATGTACTAATTGACTTAGCTCTAACTCACTTCAGTGACTCAGGTATTGACTTGCTACCAGGGAATAATCTCGTTGACTTTGAATATGCAGACGATATAGTCCTTCTGGGCGAGGACGCTGTCAAAATGCAGAGTCTTCTGAACACCCTGAGCAACAATCTACGAGTGTTTGGCATGCAATTCGCTCCCGCCGAATGTAAGATGATGTTACAGGACTGGACTGCACTGACTCTTAGTTTAGAAATAGGGAGTGAAGTGGTAGAGCACGTTGACTGCTTCACTTACTTGAGAAGTACCATCAGCCCCAATGGGTTGATCTCCGACGAAATCTCAGCACGAATACAGAGGGCTAGGTTCGCATATGCCAGTTTACGCCGTCTCTGGCTTAGTAGATGTGATATCCGGCTGACTATCGACCAAAGGGCGGGTGTACTGCTCAGCAGTCCGCTCCGTCCTCCTTTATGGCTGTGAGATCTGGCCATTGAGAGCAGAAGACATGAAAATATTAGCTGTCTTCGATCATAGGTGTGTGCGTTCTATCTCCCGGGTGAAGTGGTATAATAAGGTGAGCAATACTGAGGTAAGGCGTCGAGTGCTAGGGAAGGAGGAGAAATCAATCGACGAGGCTGTGAAATTACATCGACTGAGATGGTTAGGACATGTGTTACGTATGCCTAGTCATCACCTTCCTCGACAATGGGCAATGTTAGCTGATATAGGGTCAGGCTGAAAAAGAGCTAGTGGTGGTCAAACGAAAACATGGCACCAGTCAATGAAATCCACAACAGTTAGTCTAAGTCACGTAGGAAGGTGTAGACTTCCTGACTGGTTGGGGTCCTCGGGACGGTAAAAACCAATGGTTGGAAACAATTGGTGACATGGCTCAAAATCGTTCTCAGTGGCTGGTGCAGATGCATCCACTCCTTGTGACTTATGATTTCCAATTAAACTATTTTGTTCTTCGTTATTACTATTCTTCTGTTTACTGTCTCTAATATGCATTTCTCCTACTTTCTTCTCTTGCTTTGTGTGCTACATGGAGTGTGGCGACTTGAACTACCGCACGTATGTGCAAAGTTCTATGTCGAAAACAGACAGACAGATTTTATATTAGACTTTCAGAATATCCTCAACCCGTCCTTAATAAATAATAATGGGGGAGCATTTCAGTCAAAGAATAAAATATACACAGTAGATGTGAATATCCAGCAAATAATATATGAACCAATGAGAAACTTCAACAACAACAACAAAACTACTAATGGAAACTAATTGAGGCCAGATTGTCTGTTTTCCATATGTATCAAGATCTTAGAAAATGAAGGAAATTATTTAAAACTAATTATATAGGCACTGAGATGTTACAGAAATGGGTGAAGTAATCTATGCTGTCTATATCTAAAAACTCACTTAACGTCTGCAAGAAAAGCGGTTAAAATTACCTCCATCTTAATAGGATTGACCAAAATATGAAGATCCCATTCATAAGATAGTAATAGATGATTAGATAACTTCAAAAGAATTGAGAAAGTAGTTTGTATTTGCAATGGAAGCAGAGAAAAGAATGAAAACTCATAATAATGCCGTAAATTAATTGTGTGAAATGTTCCAGTAGCGGCGCAATCAAAGTTATTCCGAAATCAGATAAGTTCAAATTTATACTGCCCAATAAATCTGATTATGTATCAGAAAAACAGTGGGCACTTTTTATAAGTGGGTTTCAGTAAATTATTTAGGACGCCATTGAATGATGTTATAAAAAAAGGTAAAAAATTTGGGTGCGTCGGTGGTGCAGTGGATGCTTGCTAAACACGTATAAGGTCAGGGGTTCGATCCTTGGCTGATGCACTCCTTTACCTCGCCTAGTCGGTAGTAGGTCCGGTAAAGAGCGAAGGTTAGGCGTGTGGCTAGCAACTCCACCTCATATAATATAATTACTACAGAAACTGCAAAGCTCTAGCCTGAGACACTATGTTCCACTGGAAATGTAAAGGAATAAAAGAAGAGAAATTCAGAGTATAATGACGAACAGAACGATTAAAGAGTATGAATTGTTTAGTTAATTTTTTAATGCAAGCAGTTAAATGTGTAATGATAAGACAATTCAAAAATCTGGTTATCAGATTACCCCAACTAAGTCTGTGTCAAATAATTAACACTTCGAAAGTAGGTCTCTTAATATCTTGGAAGATATTGAGCCCAAGGAACTCTAGCTTTGAGTCGGAATATCAATTGAAGAGAACATGAAACAAGATGGATGAGGTTTAAATGATAGTATTTACAATGAAGTCATACTTCCTGTTTCCTATCTGACCTCTAAATTACCAAGATCTTCATCTTTTATAAAGAAAGGCTCAGGGAAATCATCCGGCTATAATTTGTAAAACTTTGACTTTAAGTGATTTAGCGACTGTGCCGTTTGACATGTGTTGATGAACATTCTAGGCATAAACTTTACGTAGTTACAGTTACATTGGGGGAGCAGAAAGAGTGGCACACCTCTGATTTTGTGAACATGTACCGAAAAGCCTATGTCTTGAACGAACAAACTCTTATAATAGTACTAATGCCTGGCGTCTCCTTGATACGGTTCATGAGGTGGAAATCGTGAAATCCTTCAAAATTATCAATAGATAAAAGAGCTCGATTCACCTCAAGTTTGCCGAAGTAATTTCTATCAAACGCTTGAAACCCGAAACATATGTTCAGAAAGAAGCAGTCTTTACTTGTCCTGGTGACTGGATGTCTTTATTCACTCTTTCACTTGATTACGTAATCTTTGCCTTAAAAAAAGGACCCCGTTGATATAGTGTATGCATGCATTTACTTTGTTTAAACTTGAACTGCCTGTGTAAAAACTATATGAGCGTAATTTTCCGAGCACTGTTCACCGATTCCGGAACCTCCTGTCAACTGACATAGTGTGAAATTTGCAAGCTGTAAGCGGCTGATGAGGAGCCGACGAAATATATGATGGCACCACATTATTCTGCACAAACCACACTGTTGTTCTTGCTTTATTCAAATTCATCAAGGGAAATAAATGTATGAAGAAACTTTACATAATAAGAAATAAATCAAATATGAAGCCGACTATTTTCCTCTGTTTATTTAATGGACTGAAAAAAGTACCATTAACTTAAAGGTTCTTCAAAATCTGTTATGTCAGCTGCTTAACAGAATTAGTCTTTTTGGCTGTGTTGATGTCCTATCCTAAGTATAGTTCGATTCAAAATATGCTAACAGCTCATTAATTCTTACAGATGAATACAGGAGGACATGTTGCATTATGTGAAGAATAAATAGTCGTAGACTTTCATTGATAAGATCCAAGTCACACTTCAGAGTTCTATTTGTATTCTTAGCTGCATCTGACAAAATGTCATGTTTGTGCACTGATAAATCATGGAGAACCAAAACTTATGCATTTTTAAGAGTTTATTCATTGACAGTATTTCACGTAAGTTGGCAAATTAACTTCAAAGTTGTACAGTTATTTAAGGGAGCACAGATACAATGTTAACTGACAAAGAAGGCAAGAGGTTACTTTTAGTTAGTAACAAAATAATTCAGAGTGTATGAGAAATTACGAATGAATTATCCAACGTAATCAAGAGATTGGTTACAGAATTTTATCATGAGCTGACATCGATTACAGAATCACTGGAAAACCCGGGCTGCCGGACAGCTGTTTCGTCCCAGTTTTAAGCTCTTCATCAGTAAGCACGCAACGCCAGTGTTCGAACCCAGGACCTCCTGGCTACAAGGCGAGCTCGTAGACCATTCAGCTACTAGGACCAGTTCCTGTGGCCATGAATTCTAACTTCTGCCAATTCACGACATAGCGCGACCGCTAGCCAATGTATTCGGCGAGTATTTATCCTCACACCCGACTTGCTGCACCCTACTGGTCACCTGTAACAAGAGGGTCCTGAATTCGAACAGTTTCGTTGGGTGCGTACTACTGAAGAGTCCCAAACTAGGGCGAAACAGCTATCCAGTATTCCCAGGTTTACCAATGCTTCTCTAGCCGATGTCAGCTCTTGATGAAATCCTGTAATCAATCAATCAAATCCCTACAGACCAATACTTGATGATCAAGAGAACTAACAAACAACTCATCAAGTGATGAACAATTCTTCGGAAATAACTGATAGTTTTAAACAAAAGAAGAAAGAATTAAAAATGGGCTGCGAAAAAAATGAATAAAATATCACACAGAGTTTACTGCGGAAGAAAATAAAAATGACACTGAGGCCATGATAGAAAATAGAGGCTGGATAAAACGTTTCTCAACACAAAGTTGCAGTTTTGTGAATTGTAAGAGGTTCGGCTACATAAAGAAGATGTAGGCGACATCCTTAGAACAGCTTGATCTTCCTCTATAAATGTATCTGACTAAGGTCTCTCCTGGTGCTTCGTGAGATGAAGTAACAA